GTAGTCGTAGTAGCAGTAGTAGTAGTAGTGGTGGTAGTGGTAGTAGTAGTAGTAGTAGTAGTAGTAGTAGTAGTAGTAGTGGTAGTAGTAGTAGTAGTAGTAGTAACCGTAGTAGTAGTAGTAGTAGTAGTAGTAATAGTAGTACTAGTAACCGTCGTAGTAGTAGTAGTAGTAGTAGTCGTCGTCGCCGTAGTCGTAGTCGTAATCGTATCAGTAATAATAGTGGTCGTGGTGGTAGTAGTAGTAGTAGTAGTAGTATAATTAGTCAGAATAGTAATGGTTGTTGCTGTTGTAAACCAGAGTGTAGTAGAAATAATGTTGGCAGTGGTAGTGGTGGTAGTACGAGTGGTAATGGTAGCAGAGGTGATATTAGCAGTAAAGTCAGCAGTAGTAGTAGTAGTAGTAGTCGTAGTAGTAGTAGTAGTAGTAGCAGCAGTAGTAGTAGTAGTAGTAGGTAGTAGTAGTAGTAGTAGTAGTAGTAATAGTAGTAGTAGTAGTGGTGGTAGTAGTAGTAGTACTTGTAGCAGTAGTAGTAGTAGTAGCAGTAGTAGTAGTAGTAGTAGTAATAGTAGTAGTGTTAGTAGAAGTAGTAGTAGTAGTAGTAGTAGTAGTAGTAGTAGTAGTAGTAATAGTAGTAGTAGTAGTAGTAGTAGTAGTAGTAGTACTCGTCGTAGTAGTCGTAGTAGTAGGAGTAGTAGTAGTAGACGCAGTAGTAGTAGTAGTAGTAGTAGTAGTAGCAGTGGGAGTAGTAGTAGTAGAAGTAGTAGTAGTAGTAGTAGTAGTAGTAGTAGTTAGTAGTAGTAGTAGTCGTAGTAGTAGTAGTAGTAGTAGTAGTAGAAGTAATGGTACAGTAGTAGTAGTAGTAGTAGTAGTAGTAGTAGTAGTAGTAGTAGTAGTAGTAGTAGTGGTAGTGGTAGTGGTAGTGTAGTGGTAGTGGTAGTGTAGTGGTAGTGGTAGTGGTAGTAGTAGTAGTAGTAGTAGTAGTAGTAGTAGTAGTAGTAGTAGTAGTAGTAGTAGTAGCCGTCGTGGCACACATGATAAGAATGAAGAGGATGGCGGGGGGGACGAGGAGGATCGGGAGGAGGAGGACGACGACGACGACGAGGGGGAGGAGGAGGACGAGGAAGAAGACGACCAGGAGGTGGAGGACGAAGAAGAAGGAGGAGGATGAGGAGGAAGAGGGCAAGGAGGAAGGGGAGGAGGATGATGACGAGGGCGAGGAGGATGGGGGGGGGAGGGGGCAGAGGAGGACGGAGGAGAAGGAGGACGAGGAGGACGGGGAGGAGGAGGGGGACGAAGATGATGAGGAGGAGAGGGAGGAAGAAGAGGGGGGGAAGGCGGAGGACACACGCAAACCCCCTATAGGGTTGCGTTGTGTTGTGTTGTGTTGTTCGCCCCCCCCCTCCCATCTCCCCCCCCCCGGGGGGGGCTGCCCCGCCTGTATCAACAATAACAACAATAACAACAACCACAACAATAACAACAACAACAACAACAACAACAACAACAACAGCAACAACAACAACAACAACAACAACAACAACAACAACAACAACAACAACAACAACAACAACAACAGCAACAGCAACAGCAACAGCAACAGCAACAACAACAGCAACAACAACAACAACAACAAAAACAACAATCATGTCATAATGTTCGCTCTGTTCTGCTCACGCGTACCGCACCACATATATCCCAAACCCCCGATAGCCGCCCTTTTCCTCTTCGATCGTACCCCCTCTGGGGGGTACATCTTCCTGACCTTCCACGTGCATTGGGCGCAGCCCAAAGGCCAGCGAAGGGGCCACTGAGGGCAGCGGGGGGGAGGCACACGGGGCTACACTGGAGCCACGATTGGCAGCAATGGGGCCACTGGAACACGAGCGCCTGGGGGCCACGAAGGGCGTATATATGGGCCACAAAGGGCAGCGAGGGAGCCACTGAGGGCAGCAGCGGGGCCACGAAGGGCAGCAATGGGGCCACCGAGTGCACGAGCGACTGGGGTCCACGAAGGGCGTATGTATGGGCCACAAAAGGCAGCGAGGGGCCACTTGAGGGCAGCATCGGGGCCACGAATGGCAGCGACTGGGCCACAAGGGGAGGGGCCACGAAGGGCAGCAATGAGGCACAAAAGGTGCGAGCGAGCGTGGGGCACGAAGGGCATGACCCTGACGGGCGGGCCGAGCGGGCGGATCGATCGTGAGTTCTGCGTGATTAACCAAGAAGTTTCAAGCGAGAGAGCGATTCCTAAGTAAATTAGAAGTCCCCAGCGAACGCGCGATTCCTGAATGGCAAGAGCGCGGCGCCTGAGTAAATTGCAAGGAAGTCTCAGGCGGGAACGCGATTCTTGAGTAAATTGCAAGGACGTCTCAAGCGGGAGCGGGGGACCTGAGTAAATTTCGAGGAGGTATCAGGCGGGAGCCGTTGTTGATGTAAACCGGGGGCCAGGGGCAGAATTTGAGCCTCCAGACTTTCCCTGACAAAAAACAGGGTACGAGCCCCGGGAGGGGCACTCCAATTCAAACAATACGCACCGGAGGGGGGGATCAACAATAATTATTCTTCAATAGTGAGAGTTCAACGCAACAAGCAGAATTCCCACCACGAATTCCTTATTCAGCCACGCACGCAGGGACAATGAATGACCGTTCGGCCCACTCACTCGATTTATGTTTTTGTTTGCTCCCCTAATGCCAAGAAAGCTGGCGTGGGCTTTTGCGTGGTATACGCTACGGCCCCCGAGGTACCGTATCGCAGCGTGGAGGGCCACAGGTGGAGTGGTGTCGCCTGATGTTTGGGGTCGAGAGAGGGGACGGAAGGTACGGGCAGATGCCCAGCAGGTAGTGCAGGCTGATGCGACGATCAGAAACGGGTCTCGCGCGAGATGGCATAGCGACCTTACGCGGCGGCTTACGCGGGCCGCCAGCGCGGCACGCCACGTTGGAGACGAGGGCGCTTACGCGCGACCTTTCACGGGCAGCTTACGCCCGCATGCCGGCGCAGACGCCACCTTTTTTTGCGTCGCTCAGCCGTCCTTCGGGACCCTTCTGATAACAACTCTTGCCAATTTGGCAGCATGTCTTCTCCATGTGGTCCATGTTTGAACCACAGGCGCCGTCAAGAGGACAAGACGTGGTGTCCGATGTAATATATGGGCCCCGAGTGACAGCACGCCTCGCTCCAGATGAACAGGCACTGCTGCTGGGCACCTAGAGTTGAGACTTCCAACGCGCGTCTATGCTGTCATGGCGGGTTTGATCGGTTTTGATCGTCGGAATCGCCATCAGTTTTGATGGCCCCGTTTCGCTGGCGAAAGGAGTGTGATGGACGCCGTTGGGGGCTCACCGAAACGCCATCGACCGTTTTTCGTCCAGCCGAGGGCTGAAAATTTTGGCATCGTTTCTGATGGGCGCTAGTCGGTTTTAAGCCCCAGGATGGGCACGAGCACAACAGGGCGCTCAAGGGCAATCGCGCCCTCGCTGCGCGTCGCAATCAGCGACTGCATCCAACCAAAAACGACGACTACAACGGAGGACAGGGGATGCCAATAGGCGAAGGTACAGGGCGGGCCGAGGGAGAGCGGGGGGGGAGAGAGGAAGAAGAGGTCAGGGAAGAAGAGGGGAGGGAGGAGGGGAGTGGGCTGGAGAGGCGGCCCCCTCCCCCCGCTGCGTGTTTTGTCGCTGCCGCCGCCGCGCCTCCTGCCGAGCCGTCGCCCTCGTGCTGTCCTGCTGTTGCTGGCTTGCCAGGCTGCTTCTTGCTCCTCATCGTCCTCCTCCTCGTCGTCCTCGTCGCCCTCCTTCTCCTTCTCCTCCTCCTCCTCCTCCTTCCCCCCCTCCTCCCTCCACTATCCCGCTGGCGGCGCTAGAGGGCCAGCGCCTTCTGGGCCTCGGTCCACAGGCCCGCGGGCAGAGCTGACACCTGCACCCCGCGGGCCTGCAAAGCGTCCACGGCCCTCAGTACGCTGGCCTTGCGCGTCGGACCCTCGGCCTTCTCGTCCTTGAACGCCTGGGCCAGCGCCGCCGCCGCCAGCGTCGTGTTCGCCACCTCGAGGGTGGCCTGGAAAGCTTTGAACTCCTCGCCGCGGGCGTCTGCGTCGATGCCCAAGGTCGCGTGCTGGGCAGCGCACGCTCGCACAGAGTCTCCGAACTCCTTGACCGCCAACTTCAGTTTGCCGTGCAGCCCGAACTGCTTGAAGAGCGTCTTCCTAGCGTGGGCCATGATTGCCGCGAAGTCGCCCACGTCCTCGCCGAACCCGTCCATCCAGTGCGAGCCGTCGTTCATGCCGCCAGCGAGCTTCCGAAGGCGAGCGTCCTCCCTCTGGACCTGCTCCAAGACGTCCTTGAGGGGGGCACCGAGGACGCCAAGGCAACGGCCCACGCCAAGGCAACCCTGGACCCCAAGATCAACGCATGCGACGCCTACCTGGCGGCGCCAAGGTCGCATGCATCGATCCTCGGTCAAGGCTTGCCTCGGCGCGCGTCGCACTCGGTGCATCCCTGGCGGCCCCCGATCCTTTGCGCAGCCAGTCGCGTAGCTCGACGCCACGGCCTTCGCCGCGGCGCACCACGGCTCGATGACCTTGTCGTAGGTCTCGTACGACGTGAGGCCCCGCTGGATGAGCAACTCGCCATGGCCAGCTGAACTCTTCGTGCTTGCACGTCCTGAGATGGCGGAGTCCAGCTGCTCGAAGAGCGCCTGCAAGTCCCCTTTGGCAGTGTCCTGCGAAGCGTTGGCAGCGCAGAACCTGATGAGGGACCTCGCCACCGTGACGCCCCCCTGCAGGTCGGCAAGCCGTGAGGTGATCGCATCGACGATGGGCGCAGTCTCAGGCGTCGGGACGATGCACTTCAGCAAGCAAGAGGCGACCACGACCGATGTCTCGGACCTGTCGATCAAACCCTTGGACTCCTCAACCCGCTCTAAGTCCAGATCGCTATTCAATATGTCGCTGTTCTCGATGATGCGGACCGATGCGTCGATGAGCTTCTGGCACTGGCCATCGTCATGCACCTTCAAGTCGCAATGCTTGGCCAAGAAGATCCTGATATCGTCGACTCTCTCGCTCGCGGGGTCCATCAGGAACTTGCTGATGGTCTCCATGTACTGGTTATCCGTGCTGGCCTGGCGGGCGATGTCGACGTGCAAGGAGACGTCCTCGAACGCGCTTCCCATCGGGTCGTCGCCGCCCCCCTGCTCAACCCCGAGGATCGCTGCGAGCTTTGCCATGCAATCCATCAGCTTCTCCGCCTCGTCGATGTCCAACCGATCTGCGGGCGTCTCGAGGGTGCCGCGGACCAGCCTATCGATCGTGCTGTGGAGGGCCTGCTCTACGCCAACGGTCGCCTTTGTCTTCCCGCGGCACGTCTGCCTCCACAGCCGTATGGATGAAATGGCACCCTCAATGACTCTCAAGCCGTCGGGGTTCCTCCCCGCCTGGACGAGCTCGCTGACCGTGGCAGTCATCAAGGGCGCGATCTCGAGGTCTGTGGACGCGGCACTGCGGAAGGAGGCCTTGTACTGAGCCCAGGGCTCGTACGCTGAAAGCGTCGCAGACAGCGGGTGCCAGCCAGGCTCCTCAGTCGCACCTGTAATGAGCTCGATCATGGGCTTCATGAACATCTTGACCGTATCGAACGTCAACGGGTCGTAGTTCGGCAGCTGTTCCAACAACATGCCCATCGCCGTCACCTGCTCGCAGAAGAGCTTCACGTTATCGGGGCAGCCGTCGACGTTCTTGAAGGCCGCTGCCAGCGACCCTCCGAAACCCTGCAGGTGCTTGACCTTCTTGAAGCCCTCCGCCACCTGTGGCAACACGATGACGTCAAGCAGCACCTCTCGGGTCAGGGACATCTTGTCCTCGATCGGCATGGTCATGGACGACAAGCGGGGCTGGACCACGTCGTACTCTTCGGCGAACCTTGCGTACGGCAGCAAGGCATCAACCATCACCTCAAAATCATTGATGTTCTCATTCACGTAAGCCCGCAGAAGGGAAGCCTGGAACGTCGTCGTCTGGAGCACGTGCTCGCTCTTGATCTCCTTCAGCCGCTCGCAGACCTGCACCCACGTCATATTTCCGATGTTGGCCGCAAGGTAGGTGGCCGCCTCGACCTGCTTCTTAAGCGCGGCTGCCATGACGATGACGCTCGGAGCCTTGGGCTTGAAGCGCTTCAGCGAGTAGTCCCTGTCGCCCTTCTTCACGCCGTCCAGGAGCTCCGAGATGTTCAGGTCCCTCCTCAGGGCCTCGAGGCGGTTCTTCTCCGCGGCATTGGGTGTGCTGGGTTTAGCGGCGCTGGCCTTGCCGCCCGACGAGTCGGCGCGCGAAGCGGCCGTGCTCGGCGCTGGGGACCTCGACCGATCCCGCACGCCACTCCCATTGGCAGGCGAGTCGCCTGAGAGCGACGCGCCACACGACCCAGGGCCAGCAGAGCCCCACCCCCTCTGCAACGAGCCTGCCGCTACACTGTCAGCTGCCATTAACGAGTCCTCGACGACAATCACGGGGTCGGTGTAGGTGTAGCCCGCTCCGCTCATCTCGCCACTGCCAAGCTGCGCCCCAGCTGGAGCCCGCGGCTCTGGCGGCGAAGCGCGTGGCACGACTGCGAGGCTCTCGTCGCCGCGAGGGCTGCAAGCGTGGCTGCCCACTCGGCCGTCCATGACGGCCAAGGCCGCGCTGCTGCTCGCAGCCCTGGGCGGCGGGGGGGGCATCAAGCCCAGTGCTCGGGCCTTCGCAGAGGCGACCTCCCTCAAGTTGTCCATGGTGGGGACCTTCGCGAAGCCGCGCAAGATCGTCGCCTGCTTCTGGCGGAGCCTGGTGATCTCCTTCCTGAAGGTCTCCGCGTCGGCGCCAACTTTGGAAGCCTTCGACGCCGACAACTTCACCGTCGACACCCGCACCTCGGTGCGAGTGTAGCTCTTGATCTCCGTGTAGGGCTTGTCGGGGTGCTGCATCACGACGCCAGTCGTGCACGCGCCAGGCTGGGTGCAGCTGGGGACCCTGCAGTCCGACGTATCTGTCATCTCTGGCGTGATCCCCACGACGCCACGAGGAACCACCAGGGCGTTCCATTGCTGCGGCGTCAACTGGATGTTGGTCTTCGACACCTCTTGGCCGTAGATCGTGTCGATCTCAACCGAGCCGTTCTCACTGGCCGCCGAGTTCACCTGCTCCTCCAGCTCCCTGTCGGCATCGGCGTGCTTCCCGAAGTCATCGCGGAACTCGTCCTCCTCGTGCGACTTCTCGCAGACGTCCGCCCACGCGTACTCCCCAATATAGTGGCGCTCGTAAGTAGCCCAGCACGTGTCGCAACCTATGATCGAGAGCTGCCTGCCCCTGCCACTTGCGACGGCGCGCAAGGACGTCTCCTTGTCACAGGCCTCGTCGCAGCGCTGGCAGAACGCTGCGTCTGACCCAGCTGCCGCAGCCCTCGCAGACTTGCGGGGTGCCTTCCTGGCCGGCGGGCCGCCTTCACCCTTCTCGGTGCGAGTCCGCGCCATCGCTGCGGGGGCTGGTGCTGGTAGTTGCACGGTGGTCAGTGCTAGCGGCCAGCGGTTGGCTGCAGCCGCGAGCTGGTCTCGCGGCCGAGCGCGGTGGTCAGCACATCCGAGCCAAGGCTGCAAACAACGGAGGGGTAGGAGGAGGCATGCCATCTTCTCTCGGGGGCCAAGGGCGGGGGTGGGCACCGATGCAATCCAACGGTGAGCTGAGGGACGGTGCCGACACCAAATGCACACAGCAATGCAAGCAACGCAACGCTACCAGCGGCAATGCAACGGAGGTCGGCACACGATATACGAATGCAAGACAACGCAGCGCATGACGGTGACAATGCCAATGCATGCAATGCAATGGGGTCATTGAAGATGGCATGCCCCCCGCTGGCAAGCCCAGTCGGCGGATCAACATCGACTTGAATTCAGTGGCGAATCGGCCCAAAGGATAAAGGCGCGGCGACGAGGATCGCTTCGCGAGCGAGGGCCAAAGAACTTTGGACGGGCCCAGTTAGCCAAGCTGCGTCCCGCGAGCACCGCTCAAACGCCAAACGTAAGAACGCGATCTGCTACGCGTCTGCGCGCAGTGCCTCCAAACTGACACCCCCAAAGACACGCCAGATAATGCGAAGCAACAGTGATGCAAACTTCTCGCCGCGCATGGGCGCGCCGTGCCCTCCACCCCTCCCCAAATGGATGGTCTCATCCCCCGATGCCCGCCCTTCTGCAGTATATTATCGGACTGTGGCGGGGCGGGTGCGTTGGTGGTGGGGGGTGTGTGCCCCTGGGGGAAGCAGCGGGGATGGATTGGTGGGTTGGTGAATGCGCCCTCCCGACAGGCAGCGCGGTTCCTCAGATGCCCCATGCCTCGCAATGTTCGGCGCCGTCACAGCACCACGATGGCCCCTGAATCAACCACACTTGGTCGCACAAGGCCCGCGGGTCAAGCCCCCCCCGCAAGGCCCACGAGATGCCAGCGCCAATCGTGCGCCGCTGAGCCCAGGGGGGGCCCACTGGCCACGCCAGCCTCAATGCCCTGCAGGCCCCTATGATATTGGAAGCCCCGAGACCCAACAAACATCTCGGCCTACATCTCGCGCGTCTCACAAGCCCAGGGCCGCCTACAAAGCCCAGCGAAGTGCACACACCCAACAAACGACTCCCCCAACAGCGCTTGCACATCGACTGCTGGGGCCCACGCATTATGCCAAACAGTGAGTTTGCGAAGAACGTAGCGACGACGCTTCCCGCCAACGCATGGACGCAAACCGAATGCACTACTCTCCAAGCAGTACCAATGCCAAGCATCGCGTGCAAGGCGGCGCTTGCAACCTGACTCCGCCCTCAACGGACGAGCGCTCGCCGCGACACGATTCCCCAAACAGTGCTTGCATTCAGTTCTCATTCCACAAACAGTGCTTGCCCGCTGGCCCCGAACATCATCATGGGTGGGCACGGCAGCTTGCAACAGGGAGGACAAACACCAGTCAGCCTCGAACCAATGGGCACCATATGAAATGCGAAAGGGCGAACGTACATCTGCAAGGGGACGAATGCGCCTCGACCGGTCCAGTGGTGCAACACCGTTGGCCCTCGCAAAGAAGTGGCAAACAACCCTCGCCACACCGATGCCAGACAATATGACGGACCTTCAATGGCAACAACTTGCGCGACAATCTGTGCCCGCGGACACTGCCAAGCAAGACAATGAGCGGCAAACGTACAAATATCAAGTCCGCTGCGTCCCACAGAGACGCTGCCGAGCCGTGAAGCCCAATGGCCCCATCCAAGAGAACGGGTTTCAGGCGCAGAGACCTCGGCCGTGCATCGACGTCCTTGGGGCCCTGGGGTGCACTGGCCCACGTGGACCCCGTCGGGGGGCCTCTGAGGCCCCGAGGAGAACTGGCATTGGCGATTGAACGCCCCCCAGTAGCCCTGGAACCATATGGGCCCGCAGAAACCCTGGCCCACTTAGATCCGTTGCGCAAGCCCTGGGGCCCTGAGAGGCCCACGCCCTGGCAAGCATACGAGCCTTCACAATGATCGGCCCCCCTCGAGGCCAGAAACCTTAACCATCCTGGAACACGCGTGGCCCCTTTGGTGTCCGACGGCGGCGGCTGAGCCAACACTCAAGTGGGCCCCAGCGCCACCGCGACCGAGATGCGACGCCGACCACCCGACTGGAATTGTCAATGTGCAGTTCATGGCGGAGGGTGGGACTGTCGTTGGTGGCCTGACTCGAGAAACTTCGGCTCTAGCCCGACCACCGCGTTTGCAAAGCCAACGCATGGATGGCAGCCATCAGCCGCATATGGTGGTCGCGACATTGTCGGGGACCGACGCAGCCCACCGATGGGCTGATGCAACGGCCGAAGGCTGGAACCACGCGCCCATGAGGACTTGCCACCCACCCACCACCTAATGCGCGAGCCAAACGCCACCAGAACACTTAACCCCCCTCTAGCAATGTAATGAATAACCCTCTGCGGTGGCTGACGACGGGCACCACTTAACCCTACGCAAGCCGCCGCATTCCTAACGCACCACCGCCCAAACGGCAACGTCGCACCCACTTTTGCGAACGCGCGTTTGCATGAGAAGTCGGAAAACCTGTTGTGGGCAGGGAAAACCCCTGAGGCGCGCACGCCCACCCCCCCCCCATTGGGGCCCATCGCCGCCCGACGCTGCCAACTCGACTCACGGAACAGCTAAACCAGCCCTACGACGAACAAGCACGACGCTCGCAGCCGACAGGAAGCGAGGATGCTTGACGACCGCTAACGAACCAGATGCTGCGAAACCACGGCCCAGGCGATCACTTCACCGATCGGTCGGCCGAGCCAGGCGCACGACAATCCAGAGCATGCCCCACCGAATGGCCGCCCTTGCCGCCTCGATTCTGGCGCGACCACTCGGGGCTGGCGGAAAACCTTCGGGAAGCTAGACAAACCACTTGGCTTGCAAGCGCGCCCGCCGCCTTCGCGCCGAACGCGCCACTCAGCGAAGCTGAACCAACCGACCGACGGACCCCCGCGAACCCTCCAATGCCATAGATACAACACCCGTGCAAATTCGGCAGCCCCATCAAATGAACCAGCGCCCGACTGACGGTCGGCGAACGACTGGCAGCGAAGGGGCCAATCTTCGACGGGCCCAGGCGACGCCCAACGTCTGCCCCCGCCGCGCGCGCACATTCCGTCGGGGCCTTGGGCCGCGAACCCGACATTGGCTTGGCCGCGCCAATCGGGTCGCGCGGCCCCGCGACAGCGCGAACATCGCGCGCGGGACATGCATCAGCAGCCATCCGCCTCCACAGCCAGACGCATTACAAACGCAACCCGCCGATGAATCGGAAGCGCCTTCGCTCGCGGCCACGCGAGCGTCGAGACGCCGCTGCCGCCCGCCGCGACGTTGAAGCCGCGGCCCCAGCGTGGCGTGGCCCGCGGAACGCGCCAGCGGGCAGTGCTCCGAGAGCCGCGCCACCAACCCCCACCACCCCTACCTTCCCCTGAATGCAAGCGCGTCACCATGTGAGATGACGCGTTGGTCGCGCGCTTGAAGCGATGGGGCGGCGCGCGATAGGGCGCGACCAGATGGGCCTGCCGCCCGAAACCTGAGGGGGGGGGGTCGGCCTGCGGCGCCAGATGCCGATCGGCTGCGCCCGCCAAATTGCGCAGCGCCCAAGCGCTAGCGCGCGAGAAGGCGTCCGCGCCAGCGCATTGCGCGCGGCAGCGGCAGCGCAACGGCTGCGATGCTGACGCCAGCCGAGTAAATCGCGAACGGTGGGCTCAGGAAGAGGGCGCCATGGGCCGCCGCATGGCCAGCGATCGCCCGCTTGGTACATCGCGCAGCGCCGACCGCTGATGATGTGGCGGGCTTCGTTGCGCGACCGCCACCGAAACATACATTGGGGGGGGCAGATTGACAAAATCCGACGGCGTCGCGCCACCCGCCTTTATGAAACCCCTAACCAACCAGAAGCACCAACGTCCCGCAACCACGCGCATTATTGCGCTGGCGCGACTCTGCGAGGGGCTTCAGTCGGAACTGGTGCCAACCCGCCAGACCGTGACAGCCTGCCTGGGGGGCAAGGCCCAGCGCTGCCCCCCTTGCCGCCCCTGGACCAACCCCCGCCACGCACCGCCCCGCCACCAGCCCCTCGCGCGCCGCGCGCGAACTCCCCCCCCCCCCCCCCCTTGGCGGAGGCGGGCGCCAGGGGACTCGCGCGGATGGGGCGAGGGTGGCATCGGCTGCGAACGGGGCGCCCTCAGCCCCGCATCGCCATGGGATCGGCCGCGGCGTGGGTGCTGGCGCGGCGCGCGAGCGGTCGGATGACCTTTCGATGGGGTTCTGATGACTTTTGATGCCCCCCCGACGGCGGCTGAAAAACCGCCATGACTTTGATGGGGTTCTGATGACTTTTGATGCCCCCCCGACGGCGGCTGAACATTCGCCATGACTTTTGATGGGGTTCTGATGACTTTTGATGCCCCCCCGATGGCGGCTGACAGTCCGCCATGACTTTTGATGGGGGTATGATGGCCTGGCGTCGGGGTGTTGATGACTTTTGATCGTTTTTGATCGTTTTTGATCGTTTCTGATCACTTTTGATCATTTTTGATGCCTGCTTGTGGTGATGACTTTGATGGGGTTCTGATGACATTTTGATGGGGTTCTGATGATTTTTGATGCCCCCCCGACGGCGGCTGAAAATCCGCCATGACTTTTGATGGGGTTCTGATGACTTTTGATGACCCCCCGACGGCGGCTGAAAAACCGCCATGACTTTTGATGGGGTTCTGATGGCTTTTGATGCCCCCCCGACGGCGGCTGAAAATTCGCCATGACTTTTGATGGGGTTCTGATGGCCCCCCCCAGCCCCCTGGGCAAACTTGCGATGGGGTCGCGATGGGCGCGGCCCCGCGCCTGCGGCGTCCGCGCCGATGCGCCATCGCGCCCGCCGCGCGGACAGCGCGACCGCGCTTGACAAACGATCCGAACGCGGC